TTTTCCAGCCGCCAGCCCCGAGGGCTGCTCCCCGCCGGGGCCTTCGCGAGCCTAAGGTGTATCCCCGGCGGGTCAGCGCTGCGCCCCGCACAGTCTCTTCCTTGTTAAACTTTTCTTTCTCGTGTTTTTTCCTTTTCTCTCGCTTCTTTATTGTTTTCTCTCTGTGTCTCTTACTCCCCCTTTTGTGAATGGGCCGCGGTGTCTTTGTTCTGGAGAGAAACGCCCGTGTCGCTGACTTTTGTGAACCAGAGAAGGATCTTGTAAAACCCCTTTTTCTCTTCATACTCCCCATTCACACCCCTCCTCCTTGGCCCCTTTGATTAGATGTTCCCTCATCGTCCAAAAAAAAAAATGTAATTTCGTTGGTCTGGCGGCCACTTTCTTTGAACATTAGCTCGCTTTCAGCTCCAACTTCAATTAGAAGGAGTTGATTTTGAGAGATTAACAAAAGAACCGACCAAAGCCTTATTAAAGGTCCTAAGAAGATCTCGCGGGTCCTTTGAGAAGCAGTTAAGGAAACAGTGTGCCCTCCATCATATTCTGTTACCGTATTTTATTCGGACTCCAAAGGAGAGTGTCGCTGGGGGAGGGGGAAGCACTTTGATGAGCTGCGGCCGCGGCTCACCGCGATGCGCCCGGCCGCTCCCGGGCTCGCCCGCACACCGACTCCCGTGCAAACTTTTCTCTCCGCCCGCAGGGGTGGGGGGAAGCGGCGATTAGGGAAAAGGGGTATGAATTCCTCGAAAGGCAGTAAAGTCCTGCCTAATATTCAGGAGGAGGTGCCATTTTAAAGAATTGCCTTGCTCAGGATTGCGCCGAAAACACTTTTTTTTTTTTTTTTTGAGCTTTACGAAGTCCACCCAGGTAGATGTGTTTGAGAAGTTTGTTCGGCTGGGAAACGGGCTTCGCCAGTACGAATAACACGGGGAAGGCGCCCCAGGGAGGCTCCTTCTGTGGCACGTGGGAAAGAAAATGAAGGCAGGGGTCTGTGGCCAAATTTCCCTCCAGACTGTCCCCGGCAGAAGGAGGCAGAAGGAAAGAGAAAGTTTCCTATCACCATCTTCCGACTCAGAAGTAGTGTGTGCATGGGGGAGGAGACGCCGGGCTCCGACGTTGCAGAAGAAGCGTTTA